ATGAATGGATAAAGAAAATGATACCCACATGTGTGTGTGCACAATGGAATATTATTCAGCCCTGAAGAAGGAAGGAAATCCTGCCATTACAACATGGATGGACCTTGAGGGGGCATTATGCTGAGTGAAATAAGTCAGAGAAAGACAAATACTGCATGATACCACTTACATGTAGAATCTAAAACCATCAAACATAGAAACAGAGTTGAATGTGGCTCCCAGAAGTTAGGGGTGACGGAAATGGGGAAACACTGGCCAAAGGATAAAAACTTCTCATTGGAAGGTGAATAAGTTCTGGGGACCTAGTGCACAGCCTAGTGACTGTAGTTAGCAACACCGTAGTATATACTTGAAAGTTGTTGAGAGAACAAATCTTAAATGTTCTCATCACAAAAAAAAAAATTATGTGAGGTGAGGTGATGGATGTGTTAACAAAACCTAATTGTGGTATCATTTCACAATACCTATGTGTGTTAGATCATCACCTTGCACACCTTAAATGTACATAATGTTATATGTCAACTAAAGCTCAAGACAGCTGGAGAAAACCCCCAAAGGTCAGCCTCTCTCACTTCACCTGTTCAACGTAGAGCAAAGATCATGTGTCCAAAGAGCACAGGGAGAGGGGAGGAAGATGCACAGTTGGGAGAAACCACAGCTTCAGACTACGAGTGACCGTCATATATGATCGTGCCTTCCACCAAAATCACTTAAAGACCTTCCAGTGCCTTATCAAGGGAGAAGAATCACTGTCTACAGCATGGCTTCTGACAGGGCAAACTATAGCCTGGGACGCCAAACCCAGCCAGGCGGCTATTTTGACAAATAAAGTTTTATTGAAACATCACCATGTCCATGTATTTACCTATTGCCTATGGCTGCTTTTGCTACCATACCACATGGCCCGCACAGCCTGAAATATTCACTATCTGGCCCCTTACAGAAAAAGTATGCCAACCTCTAGCTTTCCTGCCTAATTTTAATTTTTTTAACGTTTATTTATATTTGAGAGAGAGAGAGAGAGAGAGAGAGAGAGCGCGCGCGCGCGCGCGCATGAGTGGGGGAGGGGCAGAGAGAGAGAGGGAGACACAGAATCCGAAATAGGCTCCAGGCTCTGAGCTGTCAGCACAGAGCCCAATGAGGGGCTCAAACCCACGAGCTGTAAGATCATGACCTCAGCTGAAGTCAGACAGTTGACCGGCTGAGCCACCCAGGCACCTCCCCCCGACTTTTTTTTAATGTTTATTTACATTGAGAGAAAGAGACAGAGCACGCTTCCTGCCTAATTTTTTGTCGTTGTTACTGTAAAATATATATAACGGGGGCGCCTGGGTGGCGCAGTCGGTTAAGCGTCCGACTTCAGCCAGGTCACGATCTCGCAGTCTGTGGGTTCGAGCCCCGCGTCAGGCTCTGGGCTGATGGCTCAGAGCCTGGAGCCTGTTTCCGATTCTGTGTCTCCCTCTCTCTCTGCCCCTCCCCCGTTCATGCTCTGTCTCTCTCTGTCCCAAAAACAAATAAACGTTGAAAAAAAAAATTAAAAAAAAAATAAAATATATATAACATAAAATTTACCATTTTAGCCATTTCTAAGGCTACAGTTTCAGCGGCATTAGGTACATTCACATTTTGTGTGACCATCATCACCATCCATCTCCAGAACCTTTTCATTTCCGAAACTGCAACTCTGTACCCAGTAAACACAAACTCCCAGTAAACACGAACTCCCCGTTCCCCTCCCCCAGCCCCCGGCACCCACCCTTCTACTTTTCCTTTTGTGACTGGCTTCTCCTACTTAGCATACCGTGTTTGAGATGCATCCACATCGAAGCATGTGTCACAATTTCATTCCTTTTGACGGCTGAATAATATTCCACCGGGTAGAGAGGCCACATTTTGTTTCTCCACTCATCCGCCCATGGGCACCTAGGCTGCTGCCACCTTGGGGCTGTTGTGAATAGTGCTGCCTCCTGCCTAACTCGAGTCGCCTCCTGCATCACATGCCTCGGTCCCGTAGCCACAGACGCCTTCTGTCACCTTCTGTCAATTCCTCAAATGTATCGTGCCCCCTCCCGCCTCTCGGTTAGAATACCCTCCACCTCTACCCCTTCACTATCTTAGCTGCGTCTTAGCCTTCAGTCTAAATTATCACTTCTGGGAACTCGCCCTGACCAGACCCTCCCTAGTCCTCCCCCCCTCCACCCCCCTGCCAGTTCAAACTCGATCAGCTCTGTCTGGTCATGAGCTCTGATGGTGTCCTGCCCTGCATCTTTATAGCCCGTAACACTGTGCATAAGCACTGGACACAATTTCATAATACTTCTGTGTGGTTATTTGATTAATGTCAGACTTCAAGAGGCCAAGGCTATGTCTTTTTTTTGCTTCCCATTATACCCCCACCGACTAGCCCAGAACCTAGAACAAACCACATTTCATTAATTCTAAGAGACACGAATTTTTACATTTATAGCAGGATGCAACTGATAACCAATGTCTTACATCCACCTGCATACAGCGATGAGCACTCACAAAACACTGGCTCAATCGGTGAAGACGCTCAGAGGCAGGTGCCGCTCTGAACCCCCAAAGGGGTGGCTGAGGGCAACAGGAAGTGGTCAGGTGGGAGTCCAAGAGAGTCCTGGGACCATGTCAAAAAAGCAACATTTCACAGGCATGTGGGTTCTCTATTGCTTAAGACAGGAGGAAGGGAGAGGGTCTGAGACTGGGACAGGCCCCCTGAGTCCTTCTGCATACCTGCCCAGGCTGGAGAGCCAGCCCTGGATAAATGCCCGAGTCAAAGGCAAACGGGCACAGCTAGGGAGTGGGGGTCAGGAAATCCCTGAGAGCCCTTGCAATGTCACAAGAAGCCAAAGTGAAGGTCAGATTCAGTCAGGGCCTCTGCACTTTGCTTCCTACAGAAGTCCGGGCCAGCCCTGCTTGCCTTTGGCTCCTCCCAGGACACTCTATGGTGTCTGTGGCTGGTCTCAGCCCTCACATGGGCCTCCACATACTAGGAATGCGAGGAAACTCTCCCCACTGCCCCCCCACATCCTAGCTGCAGGGATCCCGGAGCAGGGATGCGGGGCTCTTACATACACCAGGTGCCAGATTCAGACTCCTTATGGTATCTCCCGGCAAGATCACAAACTATCATTTTATCTTCTATGCCTTCATGGCGATTTTGTCCAGTGTAAATTTTTAAAACATGCTACCCACTTTCGTAAGCCTGCTTAGCATGTTTTCCCATTTTTAAGACACTGAGAACCGGGGTGCCTGGGTGGATCAGTCAGTTGAGCGTCTGACTTCGGCTCAGATCATGATCTCACGGTTTGTGGGTTCGAGTCCCGCGTCAGGCTCTGTGCTGACAGCTCGGAGCCTGGAGCCTGCTTCCAATTCTGTGTCTCCCTCTCTCTCTGCACCTAACCTACTCGCATTCTCTTTCTCAAAAATAAATAAACATTAAAAAATTAAAAAAAAAAAAAAAAAGACACTGAGAACCTCCAAAGACTGCAAGGCACCTGGCCACAGTCAGCCTCTGAGGGGCCCTGCAGAGAGCTTCCCGTCCCCTCCTAGCAGCCAGTATGTAGCTACAGACACCATGTCACCCTGCCAGCAGCAAGATCCTCCCCAAACCAGAGCCGGGTGCACACGGTACCCACTTTCATGATTTTCTCCCCCGGTTGCCTGTAGGCTGACTCTAAGCTTCTGTACCAAGACCTCTGCTCCGATAGTCTGGTTCTACTCTCTGACCCACCCCGACCTGGACGTGCCTTTTCACTGTAAGCACCGAGCGCATCCCGTACACATGCTGCCCGGCACAGCAGCCACTTGCCCTAAGGGGCCATTGCACACTTAGAATGCAGGGAGTCTGGACTGAGAGGAGCTGTGGGTGCAAAACACACACTGGATGTCGAAGACTTTGCATGGAAAGGAGAATGCAAAACATTTCCGTGTTATCATCTTACAGTGATTCTATGTTGACGTGGTAATATTTTGATATATTGAGTTAAATGACACCTATTATAAAAACATCACTTGCTTTGGGGCACCTGGGTGGCTCCGTCGGTTGAGCGTCCAACTTCGGCTCAGGTCGTGATCTCGCGGTCTGTGAGGTCGAGCCCCGCATCGGGCTCTGTGCTGACAGCTCAGAGCCTGGAGCCTGTTTCAGATTCTGTGTCTCCCTCTCTCTCTGACCCTCCCCCGTTCATGCTGTCTCTTCCTGTCTCAAAAATAAATATTTAAAAAAAAAATTTTTTTTTAAAAACATCACTTGTTTCTTTTTACTCTTTTTAATGCAATACTAGAAAAATGGAAGGGTAGGTGTGCAGCTCACAGCCTATTTCTAGGAGCATCACTGGGATAGACTCCGCAGGGGCCGGCCAGCTTTCCCTGTCAAGGGCCAGATGGCAAACAGTTTCGGCTTTGCAGACCACACTCAACTCAGCCTTGCAGCACAAACCAGCCACAGACCACACGCACCGGAACGGTCCTGGCTGTGTTGCCATCAATGCAGATTTGGCCCCCAGGCTGCAGTTTGCTGACCCCAACTGAGGAAGACCCATACTGTAAAAGGGTCATTTCTGGGGCACCGGGGCGGCTCAGTCGGTTAAGCCCCGGACTCTTGATTTCAGTTCAGGTCATGATCTCAGGGTAATGAAATGGAGCCCTGAATCTGACTCTGCACCGAGCGTGGAGCCTAAGACTCTCTCTCCCTCTCTCTCTCTCTCTCTCTACCCCTCCTCTGCCTGCACCACCACGTAGCTCTCTCTCAAAAACAAAATAAAACCTTAAACGAAAATAAAAAGTTTTTAAAGGGCCACTTCTGGGAAATGCTATTCATCTTCTCACGGGCCCTCCGTGAAAAGCCACCTTTCATTCAAGTAAAGAAGAGAAACACAAGCACATTCGAAGCTCCCCTAACCTGGCACGGTCCTGGGGCCATGAAGCAGCCCCCAGAAGCCCCGGGGCTCAGCGGCCCCAGGGCACCCACCAAACACACTTACTTGGGTGTGTGGGCCTCGTCTACACGGTGACCCAGCTGGAATTCGTGGGACTTGCTCCGATGCAGAGCGGTGAAACCTGGAATCAAGTGGATCAGTTTCCGGGAGGAGGGCGGCGGGGTCCCCGGAGGCTTCAGCTTGTTCCTCCTCCTCATGGGTGGTGTGCCGGGAGGGGTGACGGTGGTGACGATATTAGGGGTGCGCGGCGGGGTGCGGACCGCGTGCCGCTGCCGGGGCGACGGGGGCAGGGAACGGTGGCCTGACTCCAGCGGCGGTGGCGGGCACAGGCCCGGGTAGGGGTCCACGGTAAGCCTGTCCACATGGGTGTACACGGGGGCCCCGGGCAAGGGGCTGGCGTGACAGTAGTGCTGGACGCACTTGGTCTGGACCCTGGGGCTCTGAGAGAGGTGGGTGCGGATCCACGGCGTGGGCTCCGGGGGGCACACGGGGTTGTTCTCCTTCCCCGTCTCCGTGGTGGGCCACTGGATGGTCCAGTCTTGTTTGGAAAGGTTGCCTCCTGAGTTGGAATAAAGGAGCAGAGAGACAGCAGATAAGCCTTGAGAAAGCCTGGCAAGTTACAGCACGTGCACATTCCGGCGTATGCACGTTCCGGCGTATGCACGTTCCAGCGAACGTACCTTACGGCGTATGCACGTTACAGAGAACGTACTTTACACATGCACATTACCGTGAACGTATCATACGGCGTATTCACGTTACAGCGAATGCACGTTACAGCATGTGCACGTGACGCTGTATCCACACCACACTGTGCGTGCATGCTACGCCTTATAGACCTTACAGCCTATGCACATTACATCCTATATACACTGCGCTGTGTATGAACACCACACCGTGTTCATACTATACTGCACACACATTTACATAAATCCATCCCCCTTTGGCTCCTCCAGAGAATGAAATCCCTTTGCTGACTCTCTCACTATGACCCCCACTCAACAGCCTTGCCCACCTGCTCTCCTATAGTTGTGGAGCCCACAAGTCAAATATCCAGAAAAGCAAAGGAGTGAATTCTCGCTTTTGAATTTCCAAGGATCTTAATTCCAGCAGTTTCAGGATGATTGATAGGATTTTCGAGGATAACCTTTCCCTTACGTAGCAATTTTAACAGCTAGCCCCTATATGAGATACAGGAATTCTGCAAAAGTCAAATTTGCCCTGACCTCTTTCTCAGACACTGCACCAACTTCTCCCAGATCTGCTGTGGCTGTGTGCTCGTCAAACCCTCATCCAACACTTTCTTTCTTGCTTTCTTGCTTTCTTTCTTTCTTTTTCTTTCTTTCTTTTAATGTTTATTTTTGAGAGACAGACACAGAGCACAAGTGGAGGAGGGGCAGAGAGGGACGGAGACTCAGAATCTGAAGCACGCTCCAGGCTCTGTGCTGACAGCAGAGAGCCTGATGCAGGGCTCGAACCCACAAACCATGAGATCATGACCTGAACCAAAGTCGGACGCTTAACCACTGAGCCACCCAGGTGTCCCATCATCCAACGCTTTGTGAATGCACCAGGCACTATGCTCCAGAAAGGCACAGCAGACCACACCCAGTCCAGGCTCTCTGGTACCCTAGGTTTAATATTCCACTTAAGGAGAGACACAATAGACCAGAAAACACAGTCATGAAAGGATTTCAGAGGGTGATGAGTGCTGGGAGCAGAGACAACCAGAATGGGTGTGATAAGAGAATTAGTAATGGTGAATGGTTACCAAGCTGTGGTTCCTGCCCACTGCAGAACACGACTCAGCCACAAAACGGAATGAACTACTGAGCATGCAGCAACCCGGGTGACTTTCCAGACAACTGCGCTGAGCAGAGAAAGCCAATCCCAGAAGATCCCATTCATATTCCATTTTTGAAATGACCACATTTTAGAAATGGAGGATAGATTGGTGGTTGCCAGGGTTTAGGGCTGGAGGACACAGGCAGGAGGGGCACACACAAGGGACCCTTAGAGCATTGGAACTGTCCAGTATCTTCACCGTGGTGAAGGACACGTGATCCCACACAGGTGATAAAGTTGCATAGAACTAAATACACACACACACACACACACACACACACACACACACACACACACGAGTACACATAAAACTGGGGAGACCCGGACAAGATCAGGAGGTTGCATCAATGTCAATAACCTGGCTGTGACATGGCACTACAATTTTACCAAAAATTACCAATTGGGAGAAACTGAGCAAACTCGACAAGGGATCTGTTGCAGGCTGAATGTTTGTGTCCCTCCAAAACCCTGACATTGACATCCTAACCCCCTACAGTGATGGCCTTTGGAGGTGGGGCCTTTGGGAGGTAACTGGGTTAAGAGAGGTGGTGAAGGTGGAGCCCTTATAAGGAGATGGGGAGACAGGAAGTCCGAGGAAGGAAGGGCCGTGTGAGACCACAAAAGTGGCTGTCTATCAGCCAGGAAGAAGACCCTCCACAAGAAAACATCTGCCAGCACCTTGATCTTGGACGTCCAGCCTCTAGAACGGTAAGAAATAATGTCTGTTGGTTAAGCCACCCAGTCTGTGGTATTTGTTTTAGCATCAGGATGACTCTGTGTTATTGTTTACAACTGCATGGCAATCTACAATTAGCTCAATACAAATTTCAACTGAAAAAAACTAACAGTAAAAGGGTTGGGGGTGGGGCTGGCTTTAGGTAGAGCATTCAGCTCCCTAAGGAAGCCGCATTTAAGCTGGCATCGAGGACAAGAAAGGGATCACCAACAGCCAAGGAAAGAGCATACAGGTAGGAAGGAGCTTTTTTTTTTTAAGTCCTACAGCCGTTTATTAGGGAAAGAATGGAGGCGTTAAAAAAAATCCCCACTGTCTGAATGCAGCTTGGGATTTTCAGCCCTGGTATAAGTTAAACCAAAAAATAAAAATAAAAATTCCAATTGTGCATTAACATTTTCTCACTCCTCCGCCATACTGAAAGGGTAAATATCAATGTGGTCTATATGCACAGACTCCATGCTAAGTGGACTCCTATCTACATTAGGGCAGGCACTTTCCTAGGTCCCTTTTCGGGGTGCCTTCTCGAAGGCAGTGTGCCCAAGGTGTGGCAACAATAGGGTGGGTGGCTCAAGGAGAGGCTGAAGGGACAGGTGAGGGACAGACCACCAGGACTGTGCACCAAAATGCAGTGTGGGTTATATGCCAAGTTCAGTGGGAAGCCATTGAGAGTTCTGATGGGAGGTTCCTTTCTCGAAGATCCTGCTTGGACAAGGAGAGCCCATGAAAGGTTTTGCAGGGCTCCAGGCGAGAGGTGTCGCTGGTCCCCACGTGGGTGGTGGCTGCGAAAAGAGAAACCAGTGGGGACCGCTGCATGCAAAAGCAGGACCTGGCAGAAGGCGATCGAGTGGCCCCCCCATCACGGGCCAAGGAGGAGATTAGGGGCAGAAATAAATTCCAGCTCGTGGCCAACTAGCAATAACGAGAATAATTACTATAAGGACCATAACAAGAGCTGATTTATAGAACATTTGACAGTTTGCAAAGTGCTTTCGTGAAGACTGACTCACTGCCCCATTTTTAATTAAAACTACCCATTTTGTTATTATATATTCATTATAGAAAAATTAGGAAATTCAGATAAGGAAAAAGGCAATGTTGGTCTACAGCCCAGCCATCATCCCTATTAACGTTTGGCTGTGGAGCCTGCCAGATGGTTTGCTGTGCATATTTTTTTAAGAAGTGCTGTAAGATCTTGTTTAATGGTTCGTCTCTGCTTTCTTCACTTGTAATATTAGGACTGCTTTACATCTTATTTAATATTCGTAACTCTGTGGGCAGAGGGCCATTTTGATCTCTACTTTGTAGATAAGGTCATAGATGTGCAGAGACGAAGATGTACTGAGGTCACACTAGAGATGGGGACTGGCAGCTGGGATTCAAACCCAGGGCCTGGGCCACCTCAACAACCAGGACCCTGGGGCATCGACACAGAGGGCTGGGATCCGCATTCACCGAAGGCCCTAGGCCATCATGGATGAGCCAGATGGGAATAGATACCAGAGCAAGGACTCATTTCTGACATGGCTCTCCCTTTTCCCTTCTCCCAGACTTTGCCAGAACATTCTACCAAAGTCACCAACACTATGGTGGTGCGTAAATCTCGAAATTCAGACATAAATACTATTAGCCCAGTGACTAAGACAGCCAGCTCTGGAGTCTTACGACTTGGCCCTATGTCTGGCTGTGCGGCCCTGGGGCACTCGCCTAACCTCTCTGAGTCAGCTTTATCACCTGCGAAATGGGACAGTAGGACCTGCCTCCGGAGAATAGTATGAGGACATATGTGATAGCACAGGACAGCACCTGACACATGGCAGGAACTCCATAAATGTCAGCTACTCGTATTGTGATTCTCAACACCGTGGTGCTAAGTTGTTACCTCCCCTTTAAAGAGTGTGCACTTGTGTGGAGACGTGTTGTGCCACAGATGTTACCACCATCCTGTGCACCTTCCAGAAGCTGACGCTCAGAGAGGCTGAAGAACTCTGAGCGCTGGAGGCAGACAGAGTCAAGCCCAGACCAGCTTCTCTGTTACCCGGAAAGCTCTGGCTTGATGTATTTGCTCAGAAAATATAAACTCATTGTCCTATTCACCTAAATAAAATATGTTTAAGAGAATAAATCTATTTTTTAAATTGTCTGAATCATACACTGCATTCTAAGGCCACAGAAAAGTACTGTGGGCGTTCTTGCTAGAGCTCTTTCCCCCGCCTCCAGGGAAATGGACAAAAATATGGGATTGGGACTCTGAGAGATCTGGTTTAGAACTCTGGTGCCACCAAGGACCAGCTCTGTGACCTCCTTGAGCCTCAGTGTTGGGGTCTGTAAAATGAGAATGATCATGGTTCCCTTGTACAGTAAGGATTAAATGCATTCGTTCATCTGAGTATTTCACAAATATTTTTTTAAGTTTATTTTTAAAATTTTGTTTTTGAGAGAGAGACAGAGCATGAGCGGGGGAGAAGCAGAGAGAGAAAGAGAGGGAGACACAGAATCTGAAGCAGGCTCCAGGCTCTGAGCTGTCAGCACAGAGCCTGATGCGGGGCTCGAACCCATGGACCACAAGATCATGACCTGAGCCAAAGCCAGAAGCTTAACTGACTGAGCCACCCAGGCGCCCCTATTTCATAAATATTGGAATGCCTCTCGTATACCAGCCACTGTTCTAGGCACTGTGATAGGCCGATGAATTTAAAAAGACCAAGATCCCTGTCCTCTAACAGAGCACATGTTCTTAGTGGGGAAACAGATTAAAGGGGGGAATGAACAAATAAATGACATATATAATACATTGTCTATAAGATGTCATATAAAATATCTCATCTGTAAGCCAGTGGTAATAAGTGCTATGGAGGAAAAGAAAGTGGGCGCGGCCACAAAAATGTGCTGGGGGACTACTTCAGACAGACCAGGGTGAGGAGGGACAGTGGACACAAGCAAGTATCAGAGTGAGTGAGGAGTGAGTTAACGAGATAAAA